CTTGACAGGTGATAGCCCTCGTGATTTCATAATCACTGAGATAGGGACACATGGTTTTCAAGTGTTCAGTTCTCGAGATACAGGGCGTTGAAGTTACGAAATTTAAATAGGTTTCTCGCAATATCCCAGGAAAAATTGAATATAATGCATTCAAATTCGGTATCTGGTTTCATTTTTCAATAATTAATTTTTTGACGAGAGAGACATTCTGAGAATTTTACCCAGAGGTGCGCTACAGAGGGTTGTGATAACTTTTCCTCGCATATTTTCTACGCCACTGATGAAATTTCGATTATTTCCAATTTCTCGAATTGATTGTTCAATTATGTTGAAAAACTGCATCATCTTCAACTGAGCTAAAATGAACAGTTATCGAGATATTTGACCCAAAACAGATGTTTGCATAATAATTTTTCATCTTCAGTAGTAGAAGATTTTTGTTCTCTCTCTATGCGTGGAATAACTATTTCTGTTCAGCTACAGAATGAGATCTGAATAGTATCTAATCTACTCAACACCAGGAAACAATTTTTGCAATTTTCTACTACTGGAAATGATGAAATATTACTAAGCAATCTTCTATTTAGGGTCGAATATCTCGAAATCTGTTCATTTCAGCTCAGTTGAAGGTGCTGCATTTTTGCAAAATAATTAATCAGTGGCGTAGAAAATATGGGAGGAAAAGTTGCCACACCCCCTTGTAGGGCACCACTAGATAAAATGTCCGGAATGGCTTCCTGGTCAAAAAAATGACCCATTCAAAGATGAAACCGTATACCGAAGTTGAATGCATTATATTCAATTTTTCTTGAGATATTGCGAAACAACTATTTTTATTTCTTAACTTTAACGCCCAGTATTTCGAGAACTGAACACTTAAAGACCGTATGTGAAATCACGAGGGCTATCACCTGTCAAGCGTTGTCGGTCGAATTTCGCAACACCCTGTATTAGCGACGTTTATTTTGAAAATCCCCACCTAGTGGATTTTCTTTCCATAAAATAGTGTTTTTCTTCAAACTGATCGCTTTCTGACTGCATTCGTATAAAATTATTTTTTGACATGTTTACAATGAATTACATACACCGAGTCATGAAATGAAAACTGATTAACTACCACGGTCTTCAAAGGATTTCAAAATTCTCGCCTTATTCAACTGTGAATTGCTGACATTCGTAATATCGATCTTTGCCTGTTGCGTATTTTCCACATTATTGAAATTTGCCATTAGCCGCCCGCCTATTTGAGAGAAGTTTCTTGAATGGTCTAAGCATAGGAAACAAGTACTGGAAAACACTACTTGAAGTATAATTTCCATGAAGTCTCTGTTGAATAGCACAAGTATAAGTGGAAATATACTTGATGCATGTAAAATATGTACCGTAAAACGTGGTTACTTTGCATCTCCAGTAACTTTGCCATGATTTCGTGAACACTCTTGAAAATGTTTTCATTTCTCAACTGTTAATATTAACCCTTAACTACTAATCATACGTCTCAGAGACGGCATATCAGCATCCGATTTGTTGGATTACCACTGCTTTTCAATATCGGTCATTGTCCTACTACGTAATTTATGTCCAACTAGCACTCATTCAGTACCCTGAAGTTGATCTATGTATATGGTTCAGTTTTAGAAATATATTGAGTGAAAGATAGATTCCCGTCTCGTAGACGTATAGTTAGTTATTAAGTAACAATAAAAGTTCAATTTCGCCTATAATACGTATGATTGCGTCTTTATCTAGATATACAGGCATTGTCATTTTTTTCAATTTGCATGTTTATGACTTAGTTCTGTGTAATATTTTATTACGACTCTAAACTGTATTCAGAATGACAATATATTCATCGAGAATTTTAGTATTTCAATTTTATTTTACTATTTCTATAGATCAATGTCGAAATTTTGAACATAAGGTTCCTCTATTAAATTTTGATCGCTACTGAAACTTGTATTTCTATTTCTCTTCGAAAAATATGTAGAGAACGTGTTTGAATAGCTCACAAAAATAAAATGAAAAATTTTGGATTTATATGGACATTTCAATAGTCCCGTCTGTGAGACGTATAGTTAGTGACAACGTTACATATTTGGAACGTTAGTAGTTAAGGATTAAATCGGCGTGACTTCGCCTAAAGGATCTCCAGGATCCAGGATCCTCTGTTAGTCTGGTATAAATAGATTCCAGATAGCTCAATAGGCTAGAGCTCTAGGTACTGAAAAGCACCTGCCTGATTGGCGGAAGTTTTTCTGTACGTTGGTTGGTAAGTATCTTCTACAATGTTTCATTTCCATATCTTCATAGTAGTGACCTGAATATGCAACTTGACGAATTTTTGGGGGTTGGCAAAGTTCCACGAATTTTTTTTCAATTTCTGGGTTACTTTGCCATACATTTATGTCATGATTTGCTGGTCCGTAATATGTCTAGGGAGTACAAAAAGTACCAAGTCCTTACTATGTGAATACACAGTAGACACTGTTAATGCCATAAAAAAAGCATTTCTATGTAACAGAGCGTCACAAATATTCAATACACCAAGGATACAACGCAGAACCTTAGATAAAAGGTTCATCAACGTCATACTGGTAAATATTGTGCACCAACTAAGCTGAGTGAATAAATGAGAGGCAGCTTGTGGACGTCATCTTTGCCTGTGTGCTGAATATGCCCATTTACTCCACTGATTTTATTTTTCTTAAATATTCTGTTTTTTTTTTCAATTCTAGAAATCGTTTATATAAATTATTGAATTCTTTATGAGTATTGTTGAAGATGGAGATATGGGGTTCATCACATTAAAACGCATTTTTATCAAAATTTTGTGTTCATTTATTTCTGTTTTTGAAGCCTTTGTATCTCATCTGAAGAATCAACTTTGCCAAAAATGAATTTTGATAGTTTCCATCAGATGGCAAAGTACCCATGGATTCGCCAATTTCAAAAATAAAATACTCTCTCCATACTTACTTCAGATTGAATCTATTAGTCACATAAAGAAAGAGCCAAAATTGAACATACTTCTTAGACGAATACATATCATTTCCCGTTCAATAATTAATCGCGAAAAACCCGATATTTCTGGCAAAGTAACCACGTTCTACGGTACACTGAGTTTATACAGGGTGTCTCAAAATTGCTGAAACACAAGACCTACCACGTGTAATACTAGTCAAGATAAGTTGATACCCAACTTTTTTATATAAAAAATGTACAGTTTTTCCGTGAGACGAGTTCAAAGTTTACATAACAAAACAGGTTTTTGTACAGTGTTCGAAAATGGGTGAAACAAATTGGATGTGAAATGCATGTTGGAGGATTACCCTCCGTTCAGTGTTCAAAGAAACCCAGAAGCAATTGTAGAAGGGTTGAAACCCTCGTCCCCTGACATTTTTTTCCCGAACATTCTTATAGGTGGTGATACGGTTCTCAAATTAGTTCCGAAAGAAAACAAATTTTTCTCAAAAAATGTCAACAGATATTCCTAGTAAAAGTCTAATATCATTAAAATGAAAAATTTAGTTAGACAGTGGAAAGAAATGCAGGACGTCCTTTTTTCAAAGCTAATGTTCAATATGACGCCCACCTTCATCAATACAAATGTCAATTCGTTTGTTTCTACTGCTAAATAATTTTGAATTACAATTTTATAAAACTTTTACTAGGAATAACTGTTAAAATCATTTGAGAAAACATTTTTTCTTCTGGTACTATGCAGAAGAAGAAATTTTCACAAAAGTAACAAAATGAAAGATAATTAATCAGTCTACTTCAGAAAATTTGTGAACCCTATTACCACCCCTAAGGAAGTTCTGGAAGAAAGTCAGGGGATGAGGGTGGTTTCAACCCTTCTACAATTTCTTTCACGTTTCCATCATGACTGAAAGCAGGGTAATCCTCTGAGATGCACTTTTGTCAAATTTCTTCCAATTTGTTTCACACACATTTTTGAACAGCACACAAAAATATGTTTTTTAAGTAAACTTTGAACTCGTGTCCCAGTAATTTCAGAACACCCTGCATATTGATCAGCACAATTTTATATCCAAATATTGGGTGACCCAGGAGCTAGATAACTTCGTCAGTTCTAGGAATCAAATAACTAAATTCGCTTGACATGACGTATACAAGGTGATTTCAAAATAAGTTCAGATATTGAATACAGCAATAGATAGGAAGATGATGAATTAATAGATGTCTTTATGCATTCCCGAAAGTATACCTGTTACAATTGAATTACAGTTGCCACAGGTGACGTGAAACAATATCGGCAGAACTAATTTGTGATACAAATCAAACAGTTAAAGAAAAACATTGAACATTTATCAGCATGTAGATACTGTTGCAGTTTCTATTGAGAACTGATACTAGATAATTGATATAATCTGACGAATACTCCAAAAACGTTTAGATTTTTCCTAAGTAATTAACTAACGAGACATTGCATTTGAAATTGAACTGGATACTAGAAAAAAGTCAAGTAAGTTACTTCAGTTGTTTGTGTTGTTGTTGTTGAGTGTTTGTTCCTTCCGCAAAAAAATGTGTATGGCGACATCAGAATTGCTAGTGTAGAACTTTGGACAGAAAAGGGGGTATTTCCACAAATCCCATTTTGATCCCTATATCTTTTCAAATGGTGGCATTTCATAGTATACATTGAACCTTCTTGAGGTAGGAATGATATGTATCTATATCAATGTCACCCTGATATGGGGAATGATTCTATTTTAGAAACTTTTGCATGATAAATTCCATTTCCGGTTTTATCAAAAGTGATGACACTTTATGTTTGCTAAAACAATCATGTTTTCGCTATAATGGTACTGGATAGTGATATTCAGTACTTGTTCAATGATAATTTTTCATTTTGTAATAAGCAGATAATATTAATTCAAAAAGAATCTCTGGATGGTGTAGTTTTACTCTCACACTTTGAATATTTTTGATGATAACAAACTGGAATGTTCATGTCTGTTTGATATACTTGAAACAATCTACTCTACTTGACCTAATTTCTGTTCCTCAATATCATTTTCTATTTCGTCTACTTTTTCAAGAATAGCTGATAAATCGTCCATATCGTCAATGGTTATAACATCATCATCATCTTCTTCTTCTTCAATGTTTATGGTTGAAGATTCAGTACAATTATTGTCTGATTCTTCAAGATTTAGTTCAACAACTTCTGCAGTTCTTGGTTTCAATTGTTCTTCTTTATATGTCAGTAACGGTTTTGTTGGGTTGAATTGTTTCACACGGACAACATCGATTTGTTCAAAGTTGTAGAACAGTTTGAATCCTACTTTTTCCAACGAATCTACATCTTCTTGTTTTGCCAACATGGAGATCTTCAATTTACCTTTTTTAAAGGTTTGAGAGAGGAATTGCCAATCACTGATATTTATTCCTTTGTTCTGACGTACCAAACGCTCAAGAATTAATTCTTTCACACCACGCTCTCCTGGAATAATCAGTTTTAGTTCAATTAGTATAGGTAAATTCTCACTTTCAACCGAAAAAACTTCTGGACCGTTCCAAGTCAAATTTTCCATAGTAGTTTTCAGCCATTGAACGCTCTCCATGTTGCAGCAATTGATTCTAAGAGAACAATATTTCTTTTCACAACACAGGAATTTCGGCACAAACGAATCAGGAGGTATTTTGTCAATGGTTTTCAATATTTCATTCTCTAGAGCAGTCAACTCCTCCAAAGAAAATAAATGCTTTGGATATATTTTAGGTAAGATTACCATGACAAACTCATTTCCGGGTTTGAACAACTTTAGTTCGGCGCCTTCCCAAAGTTTCAACTTTTTAAGTGTATTCGACAACCAAAAGAAACTTCTTTGTTTGAAATATTCAACTGTGAATATTCCGTTGGCCTTTGAATGACTTAGGAACTGTGGTCTCTTAGGCTGTGGGCCCACTTCCATTTCATCAATGGCATCTAAAATCGCACCTTCTAAAATATCCAATTGTTCATCACTCATGAGCTCGGATGGGTACTTTTTTGGAGCAATAATAGCACTATGAATAATAGCATTGGGTTTATCAAACTTTGCTTCTTCACCCCTTGTTAACACCTTTCTATTCATCTCTTTATGGATGTCATTGGCTGATTTTATAGCAGGCGAAAAATTTACTAGGTTCCGGATTTTATTTATATTTTTCCCAGCCATCACAGATCGTCCTCGACCATATCGTTGAGCTCTTAATATGCCGCGGGAAATTCGACCTTGCCAGGGTGGCCCTGTTGGGCTAAGATGATGAGAAGGCTTCATTGCAACTTCTACGGAGATTACTAGAAATTCAGATTCCGGATATCCGTTGTATATATAATTTATAATCAATTGTTGGATTGCAGTTGCGAAGTAATGAAATGAAATACCTCGATATTATTCTTTGGATTCAGTGATTTCAATATTCAGCGTCGGGTTGTCCGGTATCTTCAGAAGAAAGTGATCACAGCTTCATATAGTTGCATCTATGTTGTTGTCAAGTCCTACAACAAAAACCAGACTAAGTTAAGATGATTATAACTATGGTGTGTCCACTAATCAATTCAGACGATGTTTTTCGATTATGATGTCTATAGAATGAGGGGCAATGTAAAAATTCCCCCAAAATTGCTGGATAGAAAAATAAAAATGGGATTTTCCAGTATCGTTGAATTTAACTCATTTTCGCAATAATGTTTTAAAGGGAAGTCAAGAACGTTATCCTGACCACATATTTATCGAGGAAAGTGAACGACAAATGCATTATTTAATATTGAAAATGCTATTTCAATACCTCTGAATTCAAACGCTACTGAGCTGTGATGTCAGTGTCTTTTTGCAATTTGATTCGTTGGAATTCTGACGGCTGGAAATCACTGCGCTGTCGCCAGATCTCTATAAAATCCTTGAATTGAAGACGCTTCATATATACTTAGTTTGGTTTTAGTCTTCGATCATAAAACAGACTAGATGAGTAATCCATAGCCCTGGCAATACAGTTTGTTTGGAACCAACATCTGAATTGTTCATTTCATGCTAAACAAGGATAGCAACAGCTGATTCTCCCAGCACCAGTGCCGTAGGGCGAAAAAAGCTTGATAGTTGATATAATAAATTCTTGACTGTGGAAGAAAATTTGAAAATATGCTTTTTCTGGCAATAAATATCGAATTAATTCTACTGTAATCTGTATTCATCAAATTGCTATACAAACATTCTGATAGATACGATACATCCGTATTTTTGTCATACCTAAACATCAGGAATTGGGACACGAAATTTAACATTTTTATTGTGACACGTTCGTTGTTGTCAAACTTATAAACATACAATAAGAAAGGGTCACTCAATTCAGTAAATAGTAGGTACATTGCTTATCGAGCACAGAATGATAGTCATTTCACACGATAATAAAGTTTGCTGCATGAGCCGTAGGCGAATGCTGCAAATCATAAGAGTGGGAAATCAGCGTTCCGTGCGAGTTATACACTATACTTTCTTTACGGCTGTAACAGATAATAGCGAAATTTTTCATTTCTTTGGCTTGTAGCCATCTGATTTCCTCTCAAGTAATAGAACATTTGACAAAGCTTCATTTTCTTGAAATTCGACATTTCACGGGAGATGACAATATATTGTCAAATAACAACACAAAATGGAGTCATTGTGTTGCTCCTTCATTCTGTTGTGATGTACATATTCTGCTTTCTTCAATGCTTCCTCCAAGAATGACCCTACAATAATAAAAAAAAAGTACAATTATTACCATACATAATGATCACCCCCACCACCACCACCACCAAATAACAACACAAAATGGAGTCATTGTGTTGCTCCTTCATTCTGTTGTGATGTACATATTCTGCTTTCTTCAATGCTTCCTTCAAGAATGACCCTACAATAAAAAAAAATTACAATTATTACCACATAATGATCACCACATTAATCAAAAGCATTAGTCACATAGGTCTTGATTATTCCACTGTCGATATGGGTTCAAATTATTCCCGTTTCAATACTTAGTTATTCATTGAAGAAATTCTCACCTCTCCTTCTTATGGTGAAAAACAGGTATAGCTCCTCTTTTCGATAATCTCTTTCCACCTGGACTAAACATTATGTCACTGATATGAAAATGATCCGAACATATCCTAGCTTCGTTGGAAACGTTTTCATTTCCAATGTTTTTCTCCCATATTTTCATCAATTCTGCATTTTGAGGAAACCTGTAAATATTTTTCACATCACCGGAGAACACTGAATGTTGCAGAGAGCCTAAATCTAATCTTATTAATTCATTGGATATTTATTGCTTCCATCTCAATTTGGGGAAACGATATTGAAATTTCGTATGATACGACACTGGCCGCTTACCTGTGAAATGACGTGTTCTGATCACTTGGATCAAATTGTCTCTTACACACCTCACAACGTCTCACCATTGTACAAAGATCAGCAAAATATTGTTATAAACTCAGTTTATATTATTGATGAAGCACAAAACGGAACATAAGTAGAGAAAACCTTCCGAACGACACATAAACAATACGACGATACCAAACAAAACATTTATCGCTGTCCACTGTCGAATACCCAGAAGCGACGTTGCAACATTGGCCAAGAAGTATTGAAAATACTTGAATTGCGTACGTAAGCTCTAGACGAGTTGACCAGAATTAGGTATGAATCATCATGCATTGATTCTCCAGTGTTTATACATAATCCGACTAACAAAAACATGAATTTATTGCTTTAGATTTATGAAGCAGGGATGAAAAATAAAGATGACGGAATATTTATTACTTTTAAAATATGCGACATGACAACACTGGCTACGATTGGGAACTAATATTATGATTGTTGTGGGAATTCATGTTGGTATCATAAATATCTGTTACGTTATTCTTCTAGGGGGTTCGTTGTTCGGAGGTTTCAGTTATGATGAAATTTCGTTGACCAATTGTCATAATCAACAAATTGAACAGTGTTAATATATCTCAAGCATTCGCGGAAAATTGAATTGCTAACCTGGCAACTATGTCTACAAGAAAAAGAGATGCCGCTAACACATGGTTGCCAAGTTAAAAATACCTCATTCCCTGCATAACTCAATTGTTCTTATTTCTCAATATTATTGATGAGAAGGCAGTGATGCTTGAACTAATATCAATAGAAATAGGACCAAGTAAGCAATTTAATTTCTTTCCCTATGGTAGATAGGTATCGGTAGGCAGGTAGGTACATAATAGGTGAGTACCTCAACTAGAAATTACTTTACTGGAAACTGAATGTCATGAATATCTGCACACTAATTCAATACAAAATGGAATTTCACTTACAATTTTGAATAAACCTCCAACGGAAACAACGAACTGACTGATTATGCAATGCAAATTTTTAATGTCAAGAATATTCATGTAAGTAGTTATTAGTTGGGTTATATAACAACATGTGTATTATTTGCAAAAATGAAGAAATCTAGGAATGAATATCCGACTTTTTTTATGTTCTGGTTCCCACGAAAACGGATATCCGGTAATGTTCAGAGAACATCGTAAGAACCAAGGAAAATAAGGTAGGAATTGGTGTTCTTCTTAAATTTCTGGAGGTTATAAGCCTCGGGGAACACTTCTCTCAGCAATGTGTTCCAAAGCCTCGCTGTTCGTTGGATGAACGAGTCTTTGGAAAGAGATGTTCTGCAGGTCTCCCAAGTGACCACGAAGGGGTGCGAAGCCTCAACTCGACGGGTTAATCTCGCGGGGACTGCGAAGGAAGGAACAATTGTTGATATTGCAGAAGAGCATCGTCCATGAAAATATCTATAAAATAGAGCCAGATTGTCAACTTTTCTACGGTGTTCCAGAGAAGTGAGTGAGTTTGTGAGCGAGGCATCACCCACGAGAAGAATCGCCCTTTTTTAGATAGAATCCAACACGGTAGTGATCGACCGATACCGATACCGATGCCGATATATCGGCTATATCGGCCGAGGGCCGATTATCAGTATCGGCCGATAGATGTGAGTATATATCGGCTATATCGGCCGATGTATAAATAAAGACAACCATAGCAGCTTAAAACATTTTTTTCATATTTAAATTTAAAGTAATATTTGAAATAAGGTGATCTTAAGAAATTATGGTAGATATAACATGAAATAGCATTTAATATGAATACTGTAGTTTTGGAGATTTTAGACAATAATAATTAATAATGAATGTTATCAATTAAAAAAGGGCCGATATGACGATATATACCGTTATCGGCCAAGACATTATCGGTATCGGCAGATTATCGGTATCGGCTAAAAAAGTCATATCGGTCAATCACTATCCAAATATGGGAACCATCATAGCTTTCTGTCCAAATTGGCAACATTGTCAAGTCCGTCGTGCATTTTATTGGCACCCGCGAGAAGATGAGGGAATTACCATTGGCACAAACAAGACAAGAATTATTGCATAAGAGCAGCATATTCCAGCTGGAAGAATTGAAACATATAGATATCAGTATTCGGAATTCAAGTATTCATAAACAGGGTGATTCAGAGGTAAGCGGCATACTTTTGGGACCGAAACCCTTGAATAGTCGTTCCTGATAATATGGGACCGAAATTGTTTTTTAAGGAAAAGATCTACGCCCCTTTGAATAGAATATCTGAAACCCTTAATAATTAAATTTAGAAAATTGGTGTACGGTATAAACATTGATGGTCAATAAGATTCTGAATTCATAATTTAAAATGTAATTCAAGGCCGTCACATGCGGGCGAGGGAAAGGGAAAAAAATTTTTTTTAGGTTAATTTTATTTTCTCAGTTAATTATAAAATTTTTCTCTCTTAGTTCAATTCAATAAAGCGTACCGTTTACGAGAAAATCGACTTTGAAAAATTTCTGATTTGGGTATGTTTGTTGATGAAAATAATTATTCAACTAACATTTTATATAACCTTTTCGAATTTAGAATTTTATGTACCATCAACTGTTTATACCGTACACCAATTTTCAAATTTCAATTTTGAAAGGTTTTGAAGTTATAGAGAAAAAAGCGTCTTCAAGCTGACCTATTAAAAGGGGCGTAGCTCCCTCATTTTCGGACCCATATTAATAGGGACTTTTTGCCTTATTTTTATACAAGGAATCACCCTGTATAGAATAAAAACAATGTGTACTTAGATATT